CAGTTGGGCGGGGTTCACGCCCAGTTGGGCGGGTTTTGTTGTTGGAACCGTGCCTGAAAACAACGGCTTTGGCCGGGTGCTTAAATCTTCATTTTTTAATTTTAAATCGTGCCCCCCTCCCCGATCTTTTCTCTTACATTGTTTCAAAATCACTAACTTAAATTGGCCACTGTGCTGCTTTCCCATAGGTAAGGCAAGGAAGCATCATTATTGGGCTACTTTTGGGCTAGTGTTTGGTGGACTTTGGAGTTGACACTGACCACTTGACACTTAATAATGATAATAATCCCTCCATTTTTCAAAGCATTTCACAGGATATGTTGTAAAGTGTAGTGAGTGACTGTGTATTTTCGTGGGCAAACCTCAATAGCTAATTTGCACACAGCAATGTCCCACAAACAGCCACGGAGTGAGTGACCAATCTGATTTGGGTGATTGTTGTGCAGACATCGCCAGAAACTACCTCTTCCTTTCGAATAGTGCTATGGGATATTTAACATCCACCCGAACAGGCAGACAGGACCTTGGTTTAACGTCTCAACCGAAGGACGGCACCTGCAACAATGCAACACCCACCTACCCCCCACCCCACGCCCCCCCCCCCACCAGCACTGCATTGCAATGTCATCTTAGAAAGTGTGAGTTCCAGTCCCACCACCTTCTGACTCAGAAGTGAGAGTGCAACCATTGAGCCAGGCTGGCACACTCATGGCCATTCTCTCTCGCCCACCCGCAAACCAATTCTTGAAAATTTCTCCACCAACTTTAAATACTTGGTTTCAGTGCCAGTCTGACTCCTCGGTCGGTAGTACTTTTGGCCTCTGAGTCAGAAGGTCTCCTGGCCAACAGTCCCCCAAATAAAATTAGTCATTCACTTCCACTTCATGGCTGTTTGTGGGATATTGGTATACGGAAATTGGCTGCTGCATTTGCCTATAATAATAATAATCCTTGCATTTGATAAGCGCTTATCCATCTTAAGACGTCCAGCACTTCACAGAATATACGTAAAGTGAATTGACTATATTTTGTGCGAAACGACAGCCAATTGCCACCAGTGTCCCACAAACAGTTGTGTATTGAGGACCAATTTATTATCATTATTGTTTTTTGAAGGATTTATTACCTGCAGAAAAGAGATCTGTCAATTGACTAACAACCAAATTCCTACCAACTGCTAGGTAAACAGAGGTGCGTGGAACAAGGAAACTTACTCAATGTTTTGCCCTGCTGGGAATCGAACCCAGGTCTGTCACCTCCAAGGCAAGTGCTCTAACCACTGAGCTACAGGACTCCATGAATGTCATGACTTTTCACAGTAAAATCCTGTGAAACACTTTAAGACATCTTGTGAGAAGCCACAAACTCAAATGCCAGGATTATTATATTAGTATTAATTTTACCTACCCAAAGGTAATTATTTTAGCTACTTATCTTGTTTATGAGATAAAATAAGATAATAATCCTTACATTTGATGTACATTTGATATAGTGCCTTACACATCAGGACATCTCAACTGTGAAGTGAAGTGACTTTGTATATTGTAGGCAAGAGTTGTTGTTGGTTACAGATTAGTTCCTGCATTTTCTGATGCAACAACTTTCATTTCTAATCAATATGTTTTAAAGTGCTTTGAGATGTTTATGTTTTACTGGGCACTATAAAAATGCAAGTTTCAATGTTATAGATTTCAAATAAATACTTAAGGAAGCCAGGTAAACAATTCAGTTTCCTACAACCCTTTCCTCTCTCTGCATGTCTCAATATGACTTTCAGTCTTAAAGACAAACATAAATGGTTGGACACATGGCAAACATAACAGTGGTGGCACATTTAAATGTCATATCATAAATGTTGTTAAAAGCTCTCCAAGACACAACATAAATGTTGTTTAAAGTGCTCCCTATAATTGTGTCCATCTCTGCAGGTAAACTTAGAAACATGTTCTGCAAGACACTATATTAAAACAACAACGACCTTCAAATCTTAATAAAAAAGACAATAATATTTGTAACTATTGCATTCTCATATTCATAACTAAAATAGAGATATCTGCCCAGGGATGTTAGATGAATAATGCCATAAGAGTTATTTGAAATAAATTTATTTTCCATGTCTACACTGGCCTCAGTTCACTACTTGTTCCACTACTGATATTGAGCGCAAAGTGAGATAAATCTGATAATTCAACGAGATGTCAAGAGAGATTACAAGATGTAATCTGGAGATGTGTTTCCTGATCTGGAACAAAAACAAAAAGCTCTTCTGTGTGTTGTTGGAATACAATGGGGGAAGCATTTTAATCATCCTGCTCTTTTATCTCTGCGGCAGCTCAAGTTACTGGTGACCCTTTTCACTTTCTTTCTCTTCAAGGACAATGCAGGAAAGGATACTCTTTGACCGAGCCTTCAGCTCCCCTCTCGACTCTCTTCCCCCTCCTCGCTCCCTCCCTTCCCTCCCCTCACCCTGACCATTTCCCCCCTCCTCGCTCCCTCCCTTCCCTCCCCTCACCCTGACCATTTCCCCCCTGCTCGGGTCATGACCCAACTGTGCAGCGCCTTGGGACGTCCTCCTGACGTGAAAGGCACTTTATAAATGGAATCTTGTTGTTGTTGTTGTTGATACTCTATTGCTAACATTTACACTTCACTAACTACATAAAGACCAGTATCAAAGCTAGTTGGGAGTGTTTACTTCATACTTTTTGTTGAGTTTGATTGTTTTTGAAACATAAATATCAGTAAAAGATAAATATTTGTGTTCCAAATGGATGGATAAAACACTATTGCAAAAAAATTATTTTGAGCATCCTTTCATGTGATCTTCGGGATATACCTCAATCAACAAACTGCATTTCAACAATGATTACAACTAATCATGGTTAAAACGTAAACATAACCCTGGAATTTGAGAGTTCAGAAGATATCAGAAGGTGAAGGATTTAAGTTTCCTTCTCTTTATATATGACACCAAGTGAACCTCATGAACTCTTCACAGGCTACAGGTTACACTATTTTAGTTGCTCCTTATCTTTTTCATCAGGAACTCCCCAATTTAAAGACACTCATAAGAACATAAGAAAATAAGAATTTGCTAGCTCCATCCAGTTCGCCTTCCACCAGCCTGGCAGTTGCATGACCTTATGTCTTAAACTATATATTATACCTGGAGATATCATTTCCTAACAGAACTCTAGCTAATTTGTTCTTGAATTCAGATCTAGCACAAATACTTTAAACTACCTCAAATTCTCTTGTAACAGGTGATCATGATAAGTTCCTTGGATTTTATGCAAGGATATAGGGTTTGAAAGCAACACCAGAGACCACTATGCCAATTGCCATCAGTGTACAACTTAAAGTTATTTGGGGTTTCAAAAAAAAGGATTTTTTTTGCAAACTAAAATAATATTTATTTGTGTGAGCATAAGGGGATACAGGGAATTGAAAGCTCGTGAAACTTGCTCTCTAAAGCCCAGAATATCAGGACAATAGATCATAGTGTATTTGAAATTTACATCGCTGATCTTCTTTCCCACCACCCCTCCCCCAACCGAGTTTCAGCACCAATCATGATACAATCCACGATGGCACAATTGGAGGCAGAGTTATCCCTGGCACATTTGTGCATCACTAGGTGCTGGTTTGAGACCTACACCGTCACTGTCTCTGGGAACCCCATTCCCCTACTGTCTCTCTCTCTCTACTCATTGTGTCTGTGCTGGTGCTTGTTCCCCCACTGTTACTCTCATCTCTAGTCCCATTTCCCTACTCTCTGTTTTCTTCCCTCCTTCCCCCCTACCCCACATGTGAAAAGGTACGCATGCCATATGAACAGAATTTGTGAAGAATATGATTGTGTGTGTGTGCGAGCAAGAGTGAGGGAATAGAAAACAGCTGTTTTGACATAAGGAGGAACAGATATATCATTTAATAAGATATACTTTTCTCTTTCATTGTAAATAATAATAATAGCTTTGCTGGATCCTAACTTTTTTCTTTTATCTTCCGTTACCAGGAGGTTTAGTGTTGCATTATAATTATATTTAGGATAACTTGTTTGAGTGAATATCTAGGCTTAGGGTCAGGATTAATTTTTATTATACAGTAATTCTAC